CCAACCTCCACCCTTACAAAAAGATATTAAATAGAACTAAACAGAACTATAAGATATTAAACAGAACTAAATAGAACTATAAGATATTAAAAAGAACTAAATAGAACTATACACCCTACCTTAAAAAGTCTTATATAGTTCTAACTCAACTCCCAACCTGATGATGACAAAACCTTGTCTAAAACGTGGTACATTTGCTGTTATGTTAAACTTATATTAAAGTTTTTCTTCATTACCCATTCAAGCTGTCTCCAGCCATTATTAGTCTCAAAGTGGGTTCCTCGTCATCGAATTTTAACTCCCTCTATATTTTATTTATAAGATATTTTCCTTAATCAATAATTTAGTTTCTAAAATATTTTTGTATTTATTAAAAAATGAAGTAATGTATTTATTTAATTGCCTGTTTCTATAGCCATTATCTTTCAATAGATTTTAATACTAAAACACTATCCATAAAAAAATTATATTTATTACATACTATTAAAAATGGTTTTAGTTGAGATATAATAATAATAATGGTATTGCAATATTTAATTCATTATTGTTTTATAGTGCTGATTTAATTGCCTATAAACAATTAATGTAATCAATAGTTTGTAAGTTATTTATATATATGCACGCACACACATATTCCAAAAATATTGTTTCCTCTAATGAAATAATAACTTTATCTGAGAAATTTTCCAAATCGTAAATATCCTTGCAGAAAATATTAACATTTCCTATTTAAATATGATAAATAAAACAGTCACTTGATTTTGCTACTTTTTGAAATTCACATTATTTCAATATTAAATTTTTATATATTTTAATGAATAACTTATGTTTAAGACTGTTTAACTCTTTTTGTATAAGAGCAGTTAAGTTTTATTTTAATTAACCTTATATTTGATTTCTTTTTACATATATGAATGTATAGGAAAAAATCTATTAGATTCTAAGTATAGGGAATGTTATTTAAAGTTATAATGAGTTTCAAGCACAAGATAAAATCAGAAACAGAAAAACATGTTAAAAAGAAAGCAGTATTCCTGTTAATCTTCCTTTTAGTCAACTGATTAACTGTAGGAAAATAACTCCCATTATAGCTGAGTTCACAGAGCAATATTTTAATATATGTATCTAATAAATCAGAATATCTAACCTTTTCTTTGTGAGTAGGCGGTAAAGGGACTATATTAGGGTTCTTAACCGGAAGATGTATTAGAAAACCTAAGGTATCTCCTTGGCCATAGCCTCCATTAGTGTAGTGGTACCCCCGGCTCTGGTGGAATTTTGTTCCTTTTTTCGAACGCCATGAATAACTAAAATGATCATATCCGAGAGGAGCCTGTAAATTACCTGAAAAGTGTTATCAGTTGTAATTATTAATCTAAAGTTCATTTACATGTATATTACAGTCTGATCTGGTAAAAAATATACATATATATAAAATGAATTCAAAAATACTCAGCTCAGTTTCTGATACTCACCTAAAGCCTGAGACCATCCAAGCCTTGTTGCAGATCCTTCTGTCATATCTTCAATTGTACATTCAAAATACCAAGTACCTCTCTTCACACCTTCGTGTGTTCATTGTCATCATGACCCAAAACATAACATAAAGTAAGAAGAAAATAAAAAGCTTAAATTTTAAAGTTTATTACACAAAACTGTAACTAAATATAAAAGTATGTTCAAATACAACTGCAGATGAAATATTTAAAAAATGCTTAATAATATCAATTGATATTCACTCTTCAGGTTGGTTTCTATACTTATCAGTGATGATTTAAAACTGGTTTAGAGGACTGTAATAATTATCCAGTTTTTATAGCAAAAAATACTATAATAAAACTTTTCTTACACCATGAAATAATGTTATATCAAATTTTAAACCAATTTAATATACATTTATGTATGTATACATTTGCAAATTTTTTCCAACTATTTTCTTTCCCCATTCAAGTAGTTAGTTCAATATAGCCTTGTGCAAAACACAGCAGCCTTTCTGTCAAAATGAAACTTGATACAGTTGAGTGCAAAAGAATATAATTAAGCCTACCTGAATTTGATGTACAGAAAAACTTTTTCCCATCATACTGCAACATCATAATTCAAATGAAGCATACATTGATAAAGCAAGCTTTTCGTAACATTTGAAAAAAGAAATAAGGACTGTAATTGTTCACAAACACTTTTTCTTCTGGCAACATATCACTAAAATAAGCTTTTATCACTTTGTTCCAATCTCTATGCAAATCTCCACTGAACTGAAAGCCTCATAAACTTTTACAATTCAACAGAACAGAAAAAAAAAGAGCTTTCTAGATGTGTCTAGACCAGTAGCCTACGATGTCTCTAAGCTGAGATATAGGCAATTATGTCACACCATAACAACTGATGTTAAAAAACAGTGATTGGTTGAATCAATAAAATTACAATTGTATTCAAGTAACAAGAACAAATCAGTAATAGTTTGTTCAAAACTATTATAACTTTCATCCTAGGTGGCTATGAGTGACATGCTAAGAAAAATTCAGGAAATTCACAAACACTAATGATTTCACTGGGAGCTTGCCAAAATCAACCCAAAATCAGAATTTATCTTTTTTTTATTTTATGTATGAAATTAAATAAATAAAATTTTTGATTTTTTTATTGTATTTTGTTTTATTTTTAATGTGTGGAAAAACAACTACAAGTTTATTTTCAATAATTTTTCTAATTCAGTGGTACAATTTCAATTGCATTCATCTGGGTATGAAAGAAGTAATGTCTATAGCTTTTGAAAGTAACCTTTATTTAGTAACAAATTTCTTTCAACCACGGTTCACTGATTTGAAAGTCAATTATTTAACACAGGATCTCTCCTTCAACCAGAGGTGAAGTAGTGTTTTTGGGTAGCAGAACAAGCAATTCTGGTCATTGTTTCTTGGAGATATTGCATATACCATTGGAAAGTCCATAATCTGCTTTATCCAAATATGCGATCCATATGATGGTAACATATTTCAACCAGCAGTAATAAGCATTCAAAAGAAACAAGATTTTATCAACAATGGTCATACACACACATGCATTGATTATCTCTTCTTTTTTATTTTCAAATTAAATTGTGTGGCCTCTCTTCATTGTCTAGTTAAAGGTGGAGATCTTGTTCTTTATCGCCTGATCTGGTAGAAGACAACAACTTCTACTATCACTACTGTCCTCTTCAGCACAAATCTATTCTAGAGTACCACCACAGTAGACCCATTAGTTACATAACAAGTACTGTCATTAACAATGAGGTTTCTGCTGATGATACAGCTAGTCATGATTCAGTCAATTTTTGTCTGATTTGAAAACTTTAAATTGTAGTTGTCATATCTCATCATTTACCAAATTTTACATAATATTTTACACAAATATAAGTAAGTAAATTTTTAAACTTCTAGTGCAGATATTTTGCATTTAGTTAAAGTCTTCATAAACAGGAAATAAGAGTTTAAAAGCTGGACTATCTTAAACTAAAACTACATACAACAATAGTTACTTTACAGATGCTAATATTTGGTTAATCTTTTCTCTTTATAGGTCATTTCAATGTTGAAGTGCAGTAAATAAACTTGTATAAGTTAGTATCAGCTGAATGTATATAATTAGAATAACTGTTGACTGACATGGGTGATCTTAAAAGTGTGAGATACTGCATTTTGACTAAACAATAAACAATCATCATCATTTTTGCTTTACACATGCTCCAGAACCTAGAAGTTTGTCATAACAAAACACTAAACTGCCAGTCAAGTTTTCAAAAATGAAACATAACTGTGAATAAAAATTTTGTTTCACTGTTAATTTGTGTTTGCTTCTTTGTTTGTTAACTGTTCTTTTTGTGTTTCTGTTTAACATTTCCTGAATATGATGCTTATAGCAGATCACTTGTAACTTAACAATGGAAATCAATGTTCCTGAAATATAACATTATGACATCAGTATAATCAATCAATACAATCTGTTTTGATGGCTTCTCTTTTTGCTCAATACGTTTGAAAGAGACAAGATTCAAGGAAAAGTTAGAAAAACATTAAAAATCATTGTTAGGTAAAATTAAATCAAAATAAAATGAAATAAACTTTTAATAGTGAAAAAAAAACTAGTTGGGCACATCCTAATAACTGTTGCAACCTTACGATTTACATAAATAATTGTTTGATATGACAAGTGAAAACCCATCTGTGCAACTTTAGTTATATTCCTGCTTGCCCACTAGAACTGATGGAAATTTTACATCATAATTCACACTTTGCATTGCTAGCAATAAAATTACAATGTTCTGGTTCTTTTGATCAATGTAGATAAAAGTTATATTACCATGAGTGGCACGAACCATACAGTAACCTTTTTCTCCTGTCACTGAGAGCCTGTCATCAGATATTTTCAGCTGGGGAGCTGAAAAAGATTGAAAGCAATCTGCATCAATTCTTTTATTACTAAATAGTTTGTTTTTCAAAAAATTTACTTAGAAATACAAAACTAGAAAATTCAAGTTTTTCTGATGACCCCAAATTAAAGAATTAAAAAATCACAGTACAATTAGCATCAATGGAAAAGTTACAACATTATCCAAAAACTTGAATGAAGTTATGTTGTATATTTTGGTAAATTTTAATTCAAGTTATAAATTTTTGAGAAATGTTTGGTGAATCTTATATAGTAATAATTTTTATATTTCTTAAAATATTTCAAATTGTAAATAATTTGTTTGATAAAAGAACAAAGAGTAGGTAAAAATGACATTGATCCTTCCCAAATATTTTATGTCTGAAATGTTTGGGAAAACCAAACAAGAATAAAATTACTTTCTGTCATATAGATCAGTTCTGTAAAACACTGACAGAAAGGTGTGGCTTGTGCATTTGATATATTGCATGCAAATGAAATGTTAATTTATATCAATTTAGGTAAAAATGAATGAATATACATTTATCTCCTTTAACTCCCTTGTTACAGACTTGGTTGATTTGACCTAAAAATTGACCCTTAATTGACATGTATAGTTTCCACACAATAACTTCTACTATGTTTTGTGTATCTTCAAGAAATTTCACAAGCTTTCAATAAACATTAAGTCATTTGTATAAAAAAAAATCATATTTTTTGTTGAAGTATTTTCTCTGTGAATATATGGAGTCAAAGTGTTAACTCCTCCAAGTGCAATATGATTTTCCTGTTAAGACTAAAAATACTTTTATTCATCTGAAAATTCTCAAATGTCAAATGAATAATATCTAAAACCTCCTGAATAGATTTAAAATGTTTTTTTCTGTAAAACTTTATATTTTATCTGTTATTTTTCTCTACCCTAACTCTATACAGGGTTTGACAAACTGACCAACCTCTTAAACACCTTTTTTCTTTCTAGAATGACTTCAAATTGTAACATGAAACTATATATGCTTATCCTAAATATCTTTAAACTAATAACAATATACATCTGTTTCTACTTAAATTATATTGTTTTATTGCTCTTTGAGCCATGTATAACTAATATTCCTGCTCACAAGTTGAAAATCACTTAGCAAAGGTGTAGATCACATTACCTTATTGAATTATACTTAAGGCAAGGGCTACTTGCATGTTGCTCGAGAGCATACCTCATGAAAAATTTTAACTATTATTATGCTTCATTTTATCTAATCTAAGATAAAAAGTTTATAATTTTTAGATTTTAGTTATTTTTATAATAAATAAAGAATACATATGAAAAATAAAAAATAAAGTACTTACTTGGGTCTTTTTCTTTGCTGTCAACTGTTTATGACACTTAACCATACTTTTTAATACTAATGGTACTAATACACTAAATAATTTTTATTTAATTAAATAATGCGCTAATTAACACAGAATAACAACACACAAAAAGCAGAAAATGTCCTATAACTATCACAATTCTTTTGGCTTTCTAACTATGTGACAAGAGCCATTAAAAATTCAGCTAAGCTCATTGATGTGTTTCCCATGGGAATAAATTTTGAACTGAAGGCAAAATAGACAATTCTCTGTACAGAAAAAGTCATTTGATAGATTAAGACTTTGTCTTTCTCTTGGTTATAAATAATGTAGTATTAAACATTAGAGAGAATTATTCACAATTTGTGATAGAGAGGATGTGACAGGTGGGCATGGCAAGAGGAGTCTATTTTCTAGTTCAGGGTTCTTTAACAATATATATGTATATATATAATTGAAGGCTATAAAAAATATGCTTTGCCTGAGCAGTGACAACATTATATTGAGTAATTTACATTAAATTTCATATTTTTCACAGGGGTGGTAAACAAATTAGAAAAGATGGAACATCTAGAGAACAAACATCAAAATCCTCATAGGATTTTTTTAATGTTGCCTTATAAACTTAAGAACTTAAAAATTATATAACATTAAAATTTGAATTATTAGCTATGTTTGATGCTAAGTTTATTCATATACCATGATAATAAAATACTTTAATTAAATTTTGAATATAACTCAGTAAAACCTCATGACATACACAGAGAAGGTTGCCCTCAGCAAGTTAACTGTATAACATCAAGCCAAACATTGCAATTCCTCTGATGAGTGACAAGATTGATTGTGAAAAACATGTAAACAAAAAAAATCATTATCTTAAAACGTGCAATAAATTTCAGGCTCTTAAACATCTTAATTTTTTAACACTAACTCTGTGACTCATTCAAGCTTGGATTGGTGATTAAATCTGGAAAATCATGACATTTTTCAAATTTATTAAAAATATGCTAGAACAATAGCTGTGGATAAAGACTCCCTCTGTTAAAACAAAATGTTAGTAACATTTTTCAATATTCTGTGTAACTTTGATGAATATTTACTATTTTCTAGCCAAAAGTCGACTGTTTTTCTCCATGTTATTTCCTAACCTCAAGCATATAAAAAAAATGCAAAACACTATGGGAACATCAGGAGACAATTTCCCCTCTCCTGTTACTTGTAACTGCAATGTGAAAATGCATATCAAGTGCAATAAATATAATTGATGTAGATGTGACAACTATGAGATATCCAGTTAAAGAAAGTGTTAGCAAGGAAAAAGAGGGTGAAATCAGTTTTAAAAAAAGAACAGAGAAAACTAGAATCGAAATGAAGAAAGCTTCTGCTGGTGCTTGTTCAAAGGCAAAAGTTGTTATTGTTGGATCTTGACGATGGTAATTCTGATGTTAATTCTGTAGCTACTTTGTTGCTGTTGTCTTGGGTCTTGAAGAGAGAAATTCTGTTGTTCACAAAGATCCTCTTGAAGCTTATCCATTGTTCCCTTTGATAAAACATTTTAAGAAGGTAATCTTGCATACTTTGTATGTTATTGATCTTATCAAAATAGGTCAACTCTGAAAACCTGTTTGAAGTTGTATCAAAATCAGTTTTTGTTTGCTCTAAACTCTTTAGACCAATATATAAATATTACAACAATCAAAAGGGAAAAATAATAAAGTGGAACCTCTCTATAATGCAGTAGTCAAGATCCATATCATGGATCAAACTTGTCAAACCGCCATATAAGGTGAGTCCATGACATGTTCCTTCACATTTAACCCCCAAATTTCCAGAAACCATTAATAAATGACAAGAACAAGACAGCTTATTTAGATTTAAATACAAATTAAGTTTTATTAAGAAAAATGGGAAAATAATAAGAGTGTAATATTTATACATGCATATTAATTTTTTCAAGTATCATTACAGATCATAGAGCAGCATCGATAATTGGATAAATGATATCAAGAATACATACTTTTGAAAAAACATCACCACTGAACATAACACAGATAATCAAGAAATTTAACATAAATTCCTGCAGGTTGATATATGAGCACCGAAGTAGTCAGTAACTTGAAGTTGTTGGCACGATTTACTAGATTCAGCTTTGGTTATATGTAAGTGGTTTTGAAGATGGATAATCATTGCAGGTGTCGAGTGTTCATAAGATTCAGCCCATTCAAGTGTTGTTTCAATTCTATCTACAACAGATTTTATGGATGGCAGTGGCTTGACTGGGTCTTTGTCATCATCATTATTATCATCACTCAGTGATGCCATGTTTTTGGGGAAGGATGCCTGAGTAGCCCCTTTCTTTATCTCATTTATGATGGTAAACTTTTCGGTAATCGTATATGAATTTCTCTTCTTGGAATTGACATTAGTAGCAGACATGATGATAACATTGTTGAAATCATACAAGTACTGATCTTTTGCAATTGCTTGGGTGATTCATTTATAGGTGGCTAAGCAGTAGCCATTTAGAATAACCAAAGTTATTAGTTAAATCAATTAATAATAACATGGGGAAATTGTAATGGTCAGTTATTAAATTACAAACTGAGCAGATACTCAGAAATCTAGATTACACACTCTTAATTCTCACTAACTAATTAACCTTTAGCTAAGCCTGGAATTTTGGGGTCCATGAGAGAATTGCTTTATACCAAGTCCTATGCTACAGCAATTCTTGTTATAGTGAGGCTCCATTGTACTACCTAATCTGATAATGTGAAAATTTATAACCATATTTGTAGGAATTTTGGCCTGGATAAGTGAATTCAGTGATAAAAAATAAACATTGTTTATAATCCTTGATTTTTTAGCAATTAAGTAAAAACATTACTTCATAATAATTTCATGAATAAAAAGAGCACAATAACATAACCTAGTAGCACAAAAACATGTTCAATCAGTAGCAAAAACAAAAATAATTTCTCTAACGGGGCATTTTTATCCATGTTCAGTGATGCTGAATTGTCAGTTATTTAAATAAACACTTATTTACTTTAATAATTATTATAACATCTAAATTGTGAGTTCTCAACAAAACAATATTAAAACCCCAAAATACTAGGTGTAAGACCATACATAACTGTCAACAATGAGAATACAAAACTTTTAAGTTATCAAACTTTGACTGTGAATCAAATTTACTGTTTAATCTCTACAAAAAATAGCTTATAAAGAAATGCTATTACGGACACCCACAAAATAACTAGGTTACAAAATAACAACTTTTTACTCTCTAAAAGAGATATTTTACTCACCAAATTAAGTTGTTATTCACAATGTAACTTTAACAAAAGTTGACTTAAAATATAGATTATACTTAATCAACGTTAATCAAGTGACTGCTATTTTTAAGGCTTAACAAAATATCTAACCAGAAAATTTGACTTGTTTTTTGTTTTATAATTTTTCTTCCAAAGCTACACAAGGAATATCTGCACATACCTATCAATAACTCACAGACTATAGGGAAGGAAGCTAGTTAAACAGCACTCGTCACCAACACTTCAGATATTTTTGTCTAATGCAGTATTGAGATTTGAAAGTCACTCTTATAGCACACCCACAACTCCAAAGTTCAAAGTGTTTCTATTTTAATGAGACATGAACCATAATCCATCAGATTT